AAACGTAAAAGAAATGATGCCTTATCCGGTCGTACTACATCCATCTACTCACCGTGCTTCTTCACCAGTCGTCATGGTTACAAGATGTGTGCCCGAATATACCTGAATGGAGATGGAATGGGCAAGGGAAACCATGTCTCCCTGTTCTTTGTCATCATGAGGGGCACATTTGATGGGTTGCTGAGATGGCCATTCAGACAAAAGGTAATATTCTTTGAACTTTGTTTGTTCTGTTATGATCAGAGCCATTAGGTTTCATTTAAAGGATCATGTCAGGTGACCCTTCGTCATATTCTTCACTTGTATTTTGATAAATCTCAACACATAATGTGTTATCACAAATTACTTCTGTAATATTCATAGTCACATGTATACACTATGCAAGTGACTTAAATGCCAACAGAATACAATTTTACTGGAACTTGGTGAGAGCTGTTTACAAACAGCCACACTTAGAAGGAACTTAAATCTCCATTACGGGTCTAATAACAAGGTTCGTACAGAATTGAAACAATCAGCATAAAAATTGTGTTGGAGAATGGTTTATTGGAATTAAAATTAAATTGTTTTTTTTTAGCTCCGCTGTCGACAAAGTCGAGCGGAGCTTATAGTATTACTGAGTGTCCGTCGGCGTCCATTGTCGTCGTCGCCGTCGGTGGGTGGTTCTCGCTCAGACTTGTTCATTTCGTGTGGGTATGTTCAACTGTCTTATTTATAGCGAATATTTTTGTCATTTTTGGTCAAAAATGCTATTTTCGTCTTTTTCTTGAAATTCGCTAGCCCAAATGCTTTGATACTTGGTATGTAGGTACCTTGGGTGGACCTCTCTCAGATTTGCTCATTTCGTGATGATATCTTCATTTCTCTAATTTTGATGAATATTTTTGGTATATTTTTGACTTATCTTTGAAAACTGCTAGTCTGCTTTGATATTGTATATGTAGGTATATCAGGTTGACCTCTGTCAGATTTGTTGATTGTGTGACAATATTTTCAATTCTCTAATTTTGATGAATATTTTTATCATTTTTGGTAAAAGATTATATTTTCGACTTCTTGAAAACTGCTTGTCCAATTTCTTTGATATTGTATATGTAGGTATATCAGGTGGGCCTCTGTCAGATTTGTTGATTTTGTTACAATATTTTCAATTCTCTAATTTTGATGAATATTTGTGTAATTTTTGGTCAAAAAAACATTATTTTCAACTTCTCCTTTGTAAATTTATTTGTAGGTACCTTGGGTGGATCTCAGTCAGATATGTTAATTTCATGACGATATCTTCAATTCTCTAATTTTAGTGAATATTTTTGTCATGTTTCATCAAAAAACATATTTTTGCCTTGTTCTTCAAAACCAGTAGTCCAAATTCTTTGATCCTTGTACACATGCAGCTTGGTTAGACCTTTATTAAATTGGTCCATTTCGTAAAGATATCTTCAATTCTATACTTTTAGTGAAATATTCTCTGCAACAAAATTAAGAAAGTTGCAATATTAAATCAGCTAGCAAGTTTAAAATGCTTCTTAGTCATAGATTTCAGAGCATGCACCACAAACAGAGGAGCTATATCAGCCGACAGGCTGCGAGTTTAAAGGTCATAAAATAAAAGCAAGCTATCTTAAGGAAAAACAAAAAATGACAAAATATTCCTGGAAAACTGTTTTATTTTATTTAATTTCAAGTGTATGAACCCTTAAAAAACCACAATGTATTGAAAGTAAAAAAAAATACTTTTAGATACAATGTGGTATATTACCTTCTTAATGTTTGTTTTGTATAATTCATGCAGACAATCTGAAATGAGGCATAATAAATTCCCATCTCTATATCTTTTTCAGGTCACTTTCATGCTGCTAGATCAAAACAACAGAGAACATGTCATTGATGCATTTCGTCCGGACCCTACATCGAATTCCTTCAAGCGTCCTACCGGCGACATGAATATTGCCAGCGGCTGCCCTTTATTCATGCCTTTATCTCAACTGGACAGCAGTCGATATGCTTACGTAAAAGACGATTGTATTTTTGTCAAGGTGATCGTAGACACTACAGATTTAAACTGAATCATATGGCTCTCATTTCTGGTTTGCCTGTACTGCTGTGTAACTGTTATATGTTCTGCACCTTACAGTGTTGTCATTATTGTTTTCCATCACAACGACTGTTACATACTGCTACTGCCAATTTCTACCTCAATCACAGAGTCTCAGGCAGCCATATTTATCATGGTTATATTATATTTGTTATACATTTATTTATTAACAAATATTTTTAAGAGATGCTCAAGTAAAAGGCTGGGGTGGGCTGATAAAAATTTGTGAAGTGTTTGTCAGCCCACCCCAGCTGTACAAATTTTTTGCTAAAACAATAGTTATAGATAGTAAAGGAATCCATGGTAAATGAACAATTTAAAAGGTTTGTTTGGAGATAACAAAAAAAAACAATTTTAAACAACTAAAGGTTCATTCAGAAAATATAAACAACTATGATATTATGTCGGTAGCAGATACACCAGGTTTCATGAAGACGTGTTTTATTTGAATATTTGTAAATGGTTATAAATGTAAAATGGTGATTGAAAACAACTTGATCAAACTCCTCTCCGTTAACCACTCTGTTATCACTGACTAGCAATTTAACATGCCAGTACTACATGAATTACCGTCATTCGATGGGATCTATATTTTGCAGTTATGGAAGTACATTTAAATACATTTGTAAACGGAAACATGCGTTATAAAACGATTTCTACGGCCATTGAAATAATCTTCGTTCAATTTTGAATTAAGCACGGTGATTACGTTATAAATGTCCACAAAACAAATCTATGCCTTCATGAAACCCAGTGTAAACATCATTCTGATCAGTGGAAAACATTCTGCAGAGCACATAACAGTTACCAGTACATGCAGCTTTCTGACAATGAGTCGTCGTAGACTATAGATTTTCCATCCTGGTTTACAAAAGTTGTAGTTATACATATCGTGTATAACGTATGTATGTATGTGCATATACTATTAGCTACAGCGTCCGTAGAAATAAGAGATGGAATTATTGTCTTCTTATCTAGCCACTGGCATTATTTGTGCCTCATTCGTAATACGTCACAGATTAAAGCGGCATGCAGAGTCACATCATGGGTATAGCATAGAATATCGCATCAAACAGTGAAATTGTATGGTTGTATACTTTTAATGTATTCATTAATTTATTGTACTCTACTTCATTGTACATGCAACGATGTTTTCCCCATCCTTTACAGAATTCAGAATATTTTCCCACACAGTGTTTATCATGGGATATAAGTGAAGATTTGAATTACTTAAAAATCCGCATTAATGTCGTGGTCCAAAATAAATAAATTCTTTATTAACAGTACAGTTACATTTGACGGTGCAGGCATGTATTGCTCATTCGAGAACAAACTCAAGACATTATTTAAATTACATGACTTAATATAAACATCAAAAAGGCGTACCCATGGTTTGTAAGACTCTACAGTGCTGAAAGGGATATGTGTACATCTGCTTTGTTTAAAAGTACGAAACGTCAGAATCTGCATAGCTTTCCGAAATGAGAGTTGTGGTTTATTTCTGTACTGTTCCTGACATTTTATTCACGATACGTTGTTTTGTTATCTGATTTTTTAAAAGAACTAATGGCATATACAGTCACTGTGCTGATCCAGTGATCACAAAGATTTGACCTTTGATATAATACGACAGCCATGTTAAGGTCTGGTCAGTATGGCCACTCAACTACATTAGTTCTGTTTTCTCTGATATCATATTGCATTGTTATAAAATTATATCCATAGATAGGAATTAATTCGTGTGTGAGATTATGCAACTATAAATATTAGGTCAAAACTTGCTAAATTTATGTATACATATACAGGATTAAGTATAATATCATAATGTAGTTGTGTTCTCTCTGGAAGAAAACGTATTAAAATTGGTAGTAAATCACTACAATTCCTTGACATGCCACCAATCTTAGTGAATATGCATGATTTATCTTGCTCAGTTTCAATTCAAAGCAAACTTATTATTGAGCTGAGAAACTGATAGTGTTCCTTACCCGGGGCAGAAGTTATAGGAAAAGTGATATTACTGTATTTCATAACAAAATGTATAATTTGTCAGTATTGCATAATAAATGAAGCATCATACGATATAGGATTGTATATTCATTTTTTTTTATTGTCTTACCATTCACTGACGAAAATGTTGTTTGTTTAAATTTGTTTTAACTCAAAGACTATTCATGCAATGTTTTTAAAGCGTAATAATTAATCTGTGTAAACTCTTGACCAAGTTCTGCCAGTAACAGGCAGTGCAATGTTTGATTTTTAATCACGCAGTTTTGTGATAATTAAGTGGCTCATTTCAATAGTTAAAAGTTGTCACTTCAATATTGCTGTAATATATCAAAAGTAAAAGATGAGACCACCAAATGAATTATACCAGTGTCAAAAAAATGCTAATTCAAATTTACATAAACTATTTCATTCTGGTTAAAAGTCTGAATTTAAAAATCTAATATTTAATAATGATTTCATGACTGCAATAGTATAACTTCCAATGTTTTGGTTGTTTTCGTAGCACTGCCTCGTTTTTCCATTAGGATAAAGTACTTTGGGTTAACTGTTCAGTCGATTCAAAGAATGCCTGGAAGCACCTTGAGGAATCTCTCAGTGTTTTTACCAAAGTGTACAGAAAAGTCGCCCAATTTATATAAATGTGCAGATCTGTACATTTTACAGTTATTTTAATTTGTCATAGACATTGATATCAACTCTCAGCGGGTGACCTATATTGATTGGCAGATGAATATATCACTACTCCGGCACTGTGAATATGACAGTTAAGTTTTCCTCTCAGAGTGACTGATCACAGTAGGTGACCGGTCAAACGTTTATTTGGTAACCAAAATAATGATGCGTCTGCTAACAAATAAAATAATGAGAGTTAATCTTTCTTTACTTCCGTCAATCTTTTCATTTTTTTTCGCTTTACAGCTATACTGATGAATTCAGTATAGCGCCACCAAGTGTAAAAATTTATTTCCCATTGTATTTGTTTCACGGCTTGTTTCTGAGTTAATGGTTAAATTTTATTTCATAAATGAGCCATACTTACAAGACAGTTACTATACTGCTTTGCAAAAGGACTGTTCTAGTCACGTGATTTATTCACTTTTAAGTTTTAATTTTCAGTTCCCTACTTTCTGGTGACGTAACGAGGACTTTCAGTGGGCGGATACAGGATTTGTGTATGGAGGTCCAAACTTTAAAATCGCCAGACTAAGTTAATGATTTTTTCATATTATACAAAAACAAATTGAATAATTTTTTCAACGGGCGGTCCGGACCCCAAAAACCCCACACCCCTCTAGATCTGCCACTGACTTTACTTGACTATTACACTGGTATAACATACCGTTGCGCATTCGAACACACAAACTTGATTTGGAACTATACCATTATCAAAAGGGCTTGTTTATATTTACATTGAGGGGCTCACTCTCAATCCTTCAAATTCATGTAGGAAATTTTATTATAATTTAAGACCAATAACTTAGGATAGTTTATAGTCAAAGTACGCACAAAGTGGGAAAGATTTCGTATCATATTCTGTGCATGTCAAAGTGTCTTCAACCGAATAATGTACCAGCTTTAGATAAAATGTGAAGCGAACATTTCGACAGCGTTACATTGAGAAAATCATACTAAGACCTCGTAAACAATTTGAAACAGCACGGTTACTCGTGCGTTATACATACAGTCTGGCCCGCACTTGGACATTTTATCCAAGAAAACTCCGATTATGATTAAACCCACCGCACCAAACCATCTTTAGATATAATATCACTGTAAATAAAAATCGATAAATTACACAAAAACAATAAAAACATTTTTAATAAATATTCATAATGAGAAAGTGTACCGTGGCCTATTCTCTAATGGAATGTGTTGTAAAATTCAAATGGAATGGAGTCGTTCTCAAACAATTTGTATACTAAAGGTCGGCAAGAAGTATTTTAGTAATAAATTGTTTTTATTTTCGTAATAATGTAATTTAAATAAATTCTTACGTCATTTTTATTTTTGATTCTTAAACACAAATTATCAAATTATATTATAAAAATGTAAAATGTGATTTTATCTGTAAAGTGTAAAAACCTATTTTTTACTGTAAATTGAATTTTTATTTTATTTCCTGTAAAAACGTAAAATATTTTTTTTTTTATTTCCTGTACCAGCTACCCCCTCCCCCCTATACTGAAAGTGCAGCTGCTAGACACTCTCCCCAAGAGTTGTATAACGTATGAATATTCATGATCCAACTCTTGAAAACATGAGATGATGGATGGTTCGAGTTACGAAAACATTAAGTTACAAAAATAACCACATCCATATTATGAAAAAAAAACGCCAACTTTTACGAAACTACGCCCAAATTGTAACAAAACTTCAAGTTACAGGCAATA